CAGAATTACTGGAAGCTCTCTCCCCCAAACCTTTTTATTCATGCTGAATTAGTTCAGCCTGGAGCTTTATTAAGAAATGATAAAATTTGGGGCGCCTGGGTGGCTTAGTCGGTTAAGCGTCCGACTTTCGCTTAGGTCATGATCTCGTGGTTCGTGGGTTCGAGCCCCGCATCGGGCTCTGTGCTGACTGCCAGCTCAGAGCCTGGAGCCAATTTCAGAGTCTGTATCTCCCTCTCTCTCTGACCCTCCCCTGCTCACGCTGTCTCTCTCTCTCCTAGAAATAAATAAAAAATATTAAAAAAAAAAGAAATGATAAAATTTATAACATAATTATTACTGTTCACACATTCGTAATAATCTTTCTTTTAGTAATATCTGTTACAATCAGGGGTTTTGGTAATTGATTATTACCATTAATGACTATAGCCCCTGACACAGCATTTCCTCAACTAAACAATATAAACTTCTACTTCTTCTACTATCATTCTTCAGTCTACTGGCCTCATCGATAATTGGAGAGATGCTGGAACAGAATGAACAGTATATCTGCCCTTAGCCAGTAATTTAGTCCACAAAGGAACATCTGTATATTTGACTATCTTTTCATTACATTTAGCAGGTGTCTATTTTAGGTGTGATTGATTTTATCACTACAATTATCAAAATAAAACCACCAACTATATCTCAATACCAAATACAACTATTTGTTTGATGTGTTCTAATTACAAACACAATATTACTTATATTCCCTGTACTAACAGCTAGCATTACTATATTATTAACAGATCATAAGTGCCTCTTCCTTTGACACTGAAGGAGGAGGAGACTGAATTTTATCTCAATATCTGTTCTGATTCTTCAGCTACCTGAAGTATACCTTCTTATTTTACCTGGATTTGACATAATTTCACATGTTGTTGTATATTATTCAGGCAAAAAAGGCTTTAGAAATATAGGGATAGTATGAGTCATATTATATCTGGGAGTCAGAAGTTACTGAGAGATATTCAACTGCACAGGGGGTCAATGCCCTTGGCCCTGACATCATTCAAGGGTCAACTATACTTGCAAAACTGGTATTACACCTAGTATTTTTTAACCAGAACAGTGCACTCAAGTACCACACACAAATTAACCAATAAAAGGAATATGTAGATATTTTATTCAGTAGTATTAATTCCTGAGAACCTCTCCCTTTCCTCATGAGCTCTTTCTGTTCTGTTTCATTTACATCTAGCTCTGAATCCTTGATTTTCCTCCTGTTGGGGCCCATTCCTGCCTTTAGCTTGGTGGCTCACCTTGGCTTTGCTATACCAATCTTTACTGATTTTTAGAGAGTTTGACTTGATTCTCTTCACTTCTTGACACATCAGACCCCTCGTGATCCCAATCCCTTTTAGGTCAGGTGCTAGGTAGGATATGATACCCTGGTTTCCTCTTCAGAGTAATTCTGATAACTTACCCTCTATGAAAGACACTTTTCTTGTAGGTAAAGTATCAAACATTCATCTATTCAAGAAAAATTATTTTTCTACATTTGATCTTCAACAAACACTCTGACTCAGATCTAAATGTATCTAGGAACATATAGTTTCCTTTGCTCTCTGTCCATTCACAAGTTTAAATAAGAACACACTGTGTTAGAAACCAATAATCTCTCATAAAGTAGGATTTCATTTTCTGGTGTAAAACTCCTTTGAAGGAAATTTATATATAACAGTGGGACTGGTTAGTTAAGGACTTGCTTGACTTGAATTTGTCGGTATTTCTTTTTGGACTTTTACACTTTCATTTTACATCATTCTTGGTCATTATTGTACCTCATTGGGACTTATGACCTCTGTGTGTGAGCAGATGAGTAAACAGAGGAAATTGATAACTAAATGAAAGCCTTGGCGAATGGGTTTAGTCCTCAGCCAGGCCTCCACTCATGGATGGTTAATTCTGGCTTTCCTTAGTTCTGAGGTGGGCAGGAGTGTGGTGAGCACTTACTAAAGGGGGATCCATTATAATGGGCAAATTGAATTTGCAAGAGGCATGTTCATTTGGAAATTCTCTTCCCTAGGAAATTCCTTAAAAACAGAACTATCTGCTCATATTTTAAAGCTTTTTAACAAGACCACCTCACAGAAGACCTGCAATACCCTGAACAATGATTCACTAGAATAATGTTGTTTCTCCAAGGAAGGGGTAGGCCAATGGCCAAATTTGGTCCCATTTGTTTTTGTATGACTTGCAAGCCAAGAACAGTTTTTACATTTTCAAATGGTTGGAGGTAAAAATTGAAAGAAGGCTAATGTTTCATAACATGTGAACATTACATGAAACTTAAATTTCAGGGTCTATCAGAAGTTTTATTAGAACAGATCCGGGGCTCCTGAGTGGCTCAGTCCTTTAACTTCTAGCTCCTCATATTAGCTTAGGTCATGATCTCACGGTTCATAAGTTTGAGCCCCACATGAGGCTCTGTGCTGACAATAAGGAGCCTGTTTGGGATTCTTTCTCTTCCTCTCCCTCTGTCCCTCTCCCCCTCTCTTTCTCTCTCTCTCTCTCAAAAATAAATAAACATTAAACACACACACACACATATCCTCGCTCATTGATTTACATATTGTCTCGGCTATTTTCAACTACAATGGCAAAATTAAGTAGTTCCAACAGAGACTGTATGGTTCACAAAGAAAAAGTTTGTCAACCCAAACTCTAGAGCTTATGTGAGGAAAGGAGGCACTGAATCTCCCTGGGTACATACAAAATGAACATCTCTTTATAACCTTGTTTAGGTACCTCTTCTATGCAGTTAAGGAGACTGAACAAGAAAAAGACAGAGAAGAGACAGTGGACTGGTAGTCTTGGCGCTTAACCTGGAACATTCCTTCAGGAAACCTCTGTTGTCAGTTCTCTTCACTGAAGTACTCGTATTCAAATTGCCACCAGACCTGAAGCTATGGGTTGAGAACAGCAGTCAAAGCTAGTGCATTGGAAGTGTAGCCAGGAATTAAGGGTAAACTTGGGACATACCTGATATGTGTCCCTCCACGGAGTGTCATAATCTGAGCTAAATTGTTCTATCAAGTATTCTCTCTAGCTGGCCCCATTCCAGAGAACAAGAAGGAAACTGCATTAAAGGTTTGGAAAAGAGGGGCTCAATGAAGCAGGGAGTGGCCACTGCCCCAACCAAGGCCTGGGCAGTTGAGATTCTGAAGATAAAAGAAAGCTTTGCAGAAAGTTACAGCAAGAAAAGCTAGGATGAGGTGCTCAGGAGAGAGATGAGGAGCAATAAATGTGTCTTCCACAGACAGAATATACACACCTGTGAGGGCAGAGAGGGGAAGAGTGGCCTTTTTCACCTCCTGGAGAAAGAGAACATCAGAGGCCAAGGTGGAATTGGGTGTGTCCTGTCCCTCCTTAGATGAAAAAGGCTATAGGAATGTTCCTGAGAAAGAGATCCACAGTCTTTTCTTTGCCCTATAGTATAGTTTATGTGCATTAAAACTGAAAAAAAAAAAAAAGCTGTATGAAAAATGAGAGGAGATAAAATCACGTGGTCTGAATTTTATCCCTAGAAAATTTAGTGAACCCCATGATTTAAAGAAAAAAAACAGGAGCACTTGGGTGGCTCAGTCAGTTGAGCATCTGACTTTGGCTCAGATCATGATCTCTTGGCTTGTGGGTTTGAGCCCCGCATTGGGCTCTGTGCTGACAGCTCAGAGCCTGGAACCTACTTTGGATTCTGTGTCCCTTTCTCACCCTGCCCCTCCCTTGCTCATGCTCTCTCTCTCTCTCTCAAGAATAAATAATTTTTTTTAATTTAAAAAAAAGGAAGAAAAAACCAAACTTAGCAACAACCCACATTTACCATTTAGTAATTGCTAACTAAATGCCATATGTGAATACATGTATAAATATATATACATGTGTAAAAATATATATATATACATAAATATACTGTAATCCTTGCAACAACTAAGCAAGACAGATGGTAGTAGTGAAGAATCCCTATTTCATTAATGAAGAAACCAAGAATTGGACAGGTTAAGTGACTTGTTCAAAGCCAAACAGCTGTAAGAGACAGAATGAAGATCTGAAGGCCCTCCATCCAGTTAACCACATTTACTTTATAGATGAACACCACTACCATCTCCAAAAGACATTAAAAAAAAGTTACTCCTCAAAAAATTAGATATATGCCAGTGTCTGCTAAGTATCACTTGCTCAATTAAGGGACTAACTGGGTAGAATCATTGAGGTCTCATAATTTTAGTTGATATAAGAAAATGCTCCATAGGGAAACAATTTTTCAAAATTTCACTGTATTTCATGAGTGGGAGTTTACTTGCTTGGTCCTAGAGCCAATATAATTTTACCTGGTACTAATGGATCAATTTATTGAACTTGACCATTTCCAGGATGACTCACTGTCCCCAGAATCAAAGAAATACAAATTCATGAAATCCAAGCCTTGAACACAAAGGTCAAAAGAGAGAACAGGCCGAAGGAGCAGAGAACACCCATTTTTCACTGCTGGGTTATCTCAATTAAGCAGCTAGGTTTCTACAGTATTAGGGGAGCACTACTATGAGATACCCCCCACCAAAATTAAGACTGAGTGAAATAAGGTAAACTTCAAAATAACACACAATAAAATGGAAGCAAAAACTGCAGTCATCTGGAAGAAAGCATTTGGCTCCCAGCAGAGCATCCAGGAGGATAAGAGGTGGAACATGTTTGCCTTGACTAAAGGGAAAGCAGGTGCTAGGTGGCCAGGAGACTGGGCAGAACCCAGTCCACCCAGGGAATTGGTGGTGCAAGCTCACTTGTGAGAGGGCCATTAAGCGAGTTTCCCTTTAAAAGCAGTTCCTCCCCCAAAATTTAAAAAAAATTAAATAAATAAAAGCAATTTCTCCCATTTGCCAATAGTTCCATGGAGTGCTAGTTCAGGGAAAACCTTCTTCCTTCCGAACTGCCCCAACCACTTGGACTGAATCATAGAAGAGAAGGGGAGATAAAGAAAAAGGTAGAAAAGGGGAAATGGAAGATATTTTAATGGGCAGAGAGGGAGGAGGGAGGGATGGATAAATGGAGAAGGGAATCTATAGTTCATACCAAATATGGTCAGAATGAGAATGACATCTAATTTGTGTAGATTTTTTTCCCCTAAGAATTAAGGATAATGATTTTTGCCTAAAAAGAAAAAAATAGAGAGAAGTATTAGCAAGACCTAAATATAGTGTCAGAAGCAGGAAAATATTAGGAAATTAAATTTTTAAAAAAGAGAATGGAGGTTAGGGGTGGCAGTTAATGGAAGGAGTTGTCATTAGACAAGAGACCAGACTTTTTTTTTTAATTGAGAAGGTGAAGAACATTGTAGAAGGGAATGAGGTGACTGGCTGACATACTGAAATATAAACATGCCATGATTTTCTTCCTCATTCAGTCTTATGTCAACATAGAAAAAAGAAATATTTGCGTCTTCATTCATATATACATACATGTATTTGTGGGTATTGATGTGTGCATATGTGTTTTAGTTGTGAATCTCCTTCTCTTCCTCATGTTCACTCTCTCTAGTAGAAAGTCAATGACAAAAGGGAAAAAGCAAAAAAGATAAGTACATATGCTAGACTATCAGTCTCTTAATTTGGGGGAGTTGACTAAAAACAAAGTGCTTATTTTTTTGAAACAAAACATTGTCTTTAGAAGTCAGAGAGAAATGTAAAATGTAGTTAGATTACTAAAAAGAGTTCTGATCTTTTTTTAAATATTGCTTTCTTAGTGCAAAATTAACTTTCTTATTAAGCCAAAGAGTGGTACCAAAAAAAATTTTTTTCAGCAATACTATTGCTAGAAATGTTCCTTGGGTCTTTGCATAGGCAACCATGGGAAAGAGAGTGGCCATCATTGGAGCTGGCGTCAGTGGCTTGGCCACCATCAGAAGCTGTCTGGAAGAGGGGCTGGAGCCCACCTGCTTTGAGAGAAGTGAAGACATTGGGGGCCTATGGAAATTCTCGGTGAGTGGGACATCCTACAGCAGGCCAGGAAGTGAGTTGGGAAGTGTGTGAGAACACAATCCTGGAGTACAGGCCTCGAAACCAGCTGCTACGCAGTTATAATCCCTCTTAGGTTGGAATCTATAAAGGGCAGCATCAGAAGCAGGTCTAAAAGTAAGTTTCTTGCTTACTTCAGAAGTAAATGAGATAATGGGGCTACCTTTGAAGGTCTCTGTGTACAGAGACTCTTGATACACCAATAAAAACTGAGCCCCTTATTATCTGAAGAGGCTATGCTGTGACCTCCATCTTCATATGGAGGAAGGGGCCATTAGCCAAAGAATGCAGGTGGCCTCTAGGCTCTGAAAAGGCCACGGAAGGCTAGCAGTATCTGCCAGAAGCTGGAAGGGGCAAGGAATGAATCCTCCCCTAGAGCCTCTGGAATTAACACAGCCCTATGGACACCTTGATTTCAGCCCAGTGTTACTGACTTCCGACTCTTGGCCTCTGGTACTGTGAGAGAATAGATTCCTGCTGTTGAAAGCCATCAGATTCGTGGTAACTTATAACAGTAAACAGGAAACTAATACATTGGTTATTCAGAGTTTCCTAATTACCTCTCTGAGAGGGACCACATTGCAGATAATAGCATCGCTTACCATGTTTCTCAAATGTCTCTAAAAGCCTTACGACTATATGCCTAGAACTCACATTATGGGATTATATCATAAAGTCATTTTAAATTTGTATTTTCATTACCTTTGGTTTCTAAAGTCAGCATTATATATTCTCTCAGCATTTTTTTATTCCTTTGAGAGGTATCCAAACATTTGTTAAGTGTGAAAAAATCAAGGGGCAGATCAGTCAAACTTTTGTAGCTATTTCCTGGATCACTTCCCTAGGCCCCTCTACTCATGACTTATAACACAGAACTAAAGCCGAGTAATGTCTTTCTCTCACCTGCTTTGATCACTGAGAGAATTAAGTACTTTAGGACTAGGCCACAGGTCTAGGGGAAATCTCTTTCTTTCTCAGGAGATACCCAAACAATCCATCAGTAAATTGTCTGGATTTGGACCTCGAGTTTCATGACTAAAGGATCTTTTTTCTGGTCACACAAACCTTAGTTCACTTCCCCTGATTTTATTCTACTCTTTGGACCCTTTTTTTTATTATTAATATTTAGCCTCTCCTTGTGTTGATGACCTCTCTACCCAGCTTTCTAACCTCACCAAAAGTTACAAGTTACAAAATTACTAGGCAAAAATCAATCATTGTCATATATTTTAGAGTTAACAAACTGGCTGGTTAAACCTCAGATGATCTATTTTATTTATCTATACAGTTTTTAAGATTTTAATCTAACATTTTACATAAAAATCTAGAGATCTGTCTTCTTTGAAAAATCAGAATATCAGGCAACACTGGATCTCTTCTTACTCGTAGTAATAACTGGCCTCTTTTAGACTACACTTAAATTCTTTGTTTCATCATATTCATTTTTGGTCCATTTTACTCATTTCTTGTAACTTCCTCTGCACCTATAAAATTTGTCGTGACTTCATGCTATATACAGACAGCAATCCTTTAAATTATATGGAACAAAAGACACACCCATTTATAAATTTTTTATCTCCTTCTTCATAGTTCATGACCCTTTTTGTTTAAACAAACCTCCATGTTTATACTGTTATAATGTAAACATTGGTCATTACTGAGTCATTTAATGGATTCTGATTACATTTCTTTCTTGAACACTTTTTGTTTTCACTGGAGTTAATAATCACCTTGTATCCTTTATTTAACTTTACAAATACTACCTCTAATACTAATTCATCCCCCAAGCTCTCCCACAGAATTATGATTCTCCTCTCAGCGTGTTTAAACACATCAGCTAGTCTATCAGCTTAATTCTTCCCTCAACTATCAAAGATAGTTTTACTGATTGTCTTCTTTCCCTCATCAAGGCCACCTTGCCATTACCTGGGCAGCCCTGTTTTCCCTTATTGTCCTACTATTCAGTTTATTCTCTACTTTTAGTAAAGTACATCAGAGTACATCCTCCAGTAGTTCTCTGAGAAATCATACATGTGAAATAAAAGACTACAAACCTTGTATGTTTTATAATATCATTAGTGGATCTGGGTTCCCATTTGATTAGGCCAAGGCTTAGCTTTTTACTTTCTTACGTTTCCTAAGTCACTTGTCATCATTCATCTATGTTCTATCTTCCAAGATGTTATTGCTGGGTTTTTGTTGTTGTTGTTGTTCCTACTTTTCTTTCTCTCTCTCTCTTTTTTTTCCCCTATGGGTTCATACCTCAGGGAAAGTTTTGGGTGAAAGAAGAGTTAAATGCATCTACAGAATCTGTCATGTTTAATCAGAAGTTTGGATTCCTTTTGTAATCAGAAAAGAATAAATCTACTTCCGTAAATAAGCAGGATTTGGCTCATTGTGGAGTGATCCCTCCAAAACAACAACAACAACAACAGTACACTTAAACATGCAATTATTGACTCAGGAGTCATTCTCTTATGAACTTTCTACCTGATTAACTTAAAATAAGAAGTCTATAAACTATAAGCTCTGAGATGTATTTTACAACACTGAGTGGGAACAGTAAGATGTCCATTATTAAGTTAAAAAAAAAAGAGTAAGTCACAAATGATGTATTTAACTGATGCTGCAACTTCTTTCTCAGTAATCAGGATCTTTGGGGAGACTAAGAAAAACTGAAGACCAATCAACTAAACATTTCTAGGGAGACTGATTACCTTGGAGCGGCCAAAGTTGCAAAAGCACCTCAAACCTCTCTCAAGGGTTTGCGTCATTTTTATTCTATGAAACTCCTCCTTGGTGTAACATTACGTAATGCTCCCCAACATTGGCTTGCTCCAGTACCTCACCTCTACCCTTGTATTAGTTTTCTATTGCTGTGTAACAAAGTACTCAAACTCAACAACTCAAGACAACACCCATTTATTATTCTCAATTATGTAGGTCAGAAGCACAGTATGCTGGGTTCTCAGTTTAAGGTCTCACAAGGCCAAAACTAAGGTTGTTGGCAGGGCTGGGCTCTTATCTGGAGGCACTGGAAAAGAACCTGGTTCCAAGTTCATACATGTTTGTGGCTGAACTCAGTTTCTTGCTGATGTTAAGTGAAGGTCTTTGTTTCCCTGCTGGTTACAAATTGGGGATTCCTATCAGCTTCTAAAGGCTGCCAGGCTCTTTGGTATGTGGCTACTTCCATGTTCAAAGGCAGGAACAACAAGCTGAATTCTTTTCATGATTTGAACTTCTGACTCCTGCTACCAGCCAGATAAAATGTTCTGCTTTTAAAGAGATTATGTGTTAAGACGAAGTCCACATAACATCATAGTCCTGAGATTGATAAAATATTTACAGGTGTCACCCACACTCAAAGAGGAGAGGACTATACAGGGATGAGGGGCACTAAGGATCATTCTTAAAATTCTTTCTACCACATGACTTAGAGGTTGAGAGAACAATCATAAGACTGTTGAGTGAAGCATATCACCAACCCTAAAACCCTCGCTCTGCCCTAGAAGATCCTCTCTCATCTTCTCCTTGTGAGTTCTTGATATTTTGCAATGTTTTGTCCATAAATATTAATGGAGGCTATAAATGTTAGATAACAGTCTAGACTATAAGCATTAACTAGACTATGAATGCTCAGATAACTTTTTTGTGCCTAGCATAAATAGGACACAAAAGGCAAATATCCAAAATTTCATAGAGAGAAGCATAAAAGCATTCCAAGACAAAAGGAGTACCCCAAGTGTGCACAGCTCAATCTGCAGGTCTCTTTTGGATCATGCCCAGTCTTTTAGATAACCCCAAACTCCTGGCTTTTTCCAAGATTGTATCTGGACTTATGGAGAAAAAGGACTTATGTGACCTTGGGATGGAGGAAAGCCAAACTTTCTCAAATTCGAACAAAGGTCCTGAAACTGTTCTCTGGTCTTTCTAGTCTCTTGGTGTTCCTGTTTTGTTTAGTTATCATTCATGCTCATCTCTTAGGAATCTTAAATTGAACACAGCCGTTGATGACTTTGGAGACTGACCTCTCTTAGCTTAGTCAGAGGCCAGTGGCCCTCCTTGCTGATTAAACCCCACTTGCCTATTATGAGCACATCAGATGATCCTCCCTGAGGTCCAGTCTTCCCATTGAGTTCCTGACCCAATTAGTCCACTCTACAGCTCTCTATTAAAATGCCACTTAGCGTGGTGCCTGGGTGGCTTAATCGGTTAAACGACCGACTTCGGCTCAAGGCACGATCTCACAGTTCATGGGTTCAAGTCCCACATCAGGCTCTGTGCTGACAGCTAGCTTCAGCAATCTGGAGCTTGCTTCAGATTCGTTGTCTCCTTCTCTCTCTGACCCTCCCCCACTCATGCTGCCCTCCCCTCTCTCTCTCTCAGAAATAAATAAAAACATTAAAAAAATTAAAATGCCACTTAGCCCCCTCCATGGCAACTGTCTGGTAGACTACCCATTAAGAATCTCAGATAAATTCTGCATCTCTTTGGGAGCAAATGGAAACTCCTATGTTCCGTCCAAACTGAATGGGTTTAAGAGAGCTAAATTAAGATCCTACCTCTTCCTAATCACTGCTACTTGACTCCTATGTCAACTTCCCCTTACCAGGTTGGTGCAGATGGAGACTTTAAGATAAGCGAAATCTCACCAAAATTTCGTATGTGAAAACTAAAGCCCCCTCAATTTTATATGAGGTATGTTAATCTTGGAATTTCAGCCCACAGAAGAAACTTTAAGGCTATGTGATTTACCATCAACCTCTTTCCTGCCTTTATTCTCTTTTCTTCTACCCAATCTTCCAAATATCATCCTTCCATTTTTTTTTTAATGTTTATTTATTATTGAGAGACAGAGCATGAGCATGGGAGGAGCAGAGAGCCAGAGGAGACACAGAATTCAAAGCCATCTCCAGGTGTGAGCTGTCAGCACAGAGCCTATCATAGGGCTCAAACTCACAAATTGCAAGATCATGATCCGGGCTAAAGTCAGATGCTTAACTGACTGAGCTGCCCAGGCACCTCACCTTTCCATTTTTTTTAACCCATTGTTTTTCAAACTGGAAACTATGACCCATTGGTGTGGTATGAAATAAAGATGAATGAATACGCATTTTTAAATGGCATGAATATAAAATGTCAGAATACAATTCAAGTAGTTGGGTATAATTTATTCATAAAACTTTTGGGGTGTGTGTGAGTATTGTGTTGCAATTTAAAATATATTAAATTATAGGCTGTGGTCAAAAACATTTGAAAACACTATTATAAACATAACCTAAGTTCTCTATGCCCTAGGTGCATAATAAAATATTATGATCTAATTAACTATCTCATGATATGTCAAAGTGATATGTATTTTGATATGTATAATTCTGTGGCATTAAGTTTATGTACATTGTTGTACAATCATACCATCATCCACATTCAGAATTTTTTTAATCTTCCCAAAATGAAATTCTGTACCAATTAAACAATCACTTCCTATTCCTCCTTCTTCCCAGCCCCAGGCAACTACTATTTTTTCTGTCTTTATGAATTTGATAACTCTAGGCATCTCATATAAGTGGAATCATACAGTATTTAACCTTTTGTGACTGGCTCATTTCACTTAGCCTTTTGTGACTGGCTCATTTCACTTAGCACAATGCCCTCAAAGTTAATGCATATCATAATGTGCATCAGAAATTCTCCTTCTTTGATTTTAGTTATATATTCCAAAAAAATACATAATTAAATTTAAAATTTGCATCCCTTAGAAAAGATGCTAAGACAGACATATATATTTTCCCACATTCTAAGTTCCTTTGATTGGTGTCACATTGTTTAAATGAAGTTAATTCCTCATCTTTCTGAATGTACTTGTGGGTAAAGGTGACTTAAAGGAGTGATAATTATTTGGAACTGGCCATGACCATGGTAAGTATACCTATTTACAAACTCCCTTTCATTTGAAACTATGCATTTACAGGACCATGCAGAGGAAGGCAGGGCTAGCATTTACCATTCTGTCTTTACCAACTCTTCCAAAGAGATGATGTGTTTCCCAGACTTCCCGTATCCCGACGACTTCCCCAACTTTATGCACAACAACAAAATCCAAGAATACATCACTGTATTTGCCAAGGAAAAGAATCTCCTGAAATACATACAATTTAAGGTAAGATGCTATCAAAAGATTAGGTTGGGGCATAACTGAGGGATTCTATATTTATTATCAAACTCTTATTTGTTCTTTTCAGTACCTCTTTCTTAGTTGTCAACATTTTTTTAATTTTTATTTATTTTTGAGAGAAAGAGACAGAGCATGAACAAGGAAGGAGCAGAGAGGAAGACGCAGAATCTGAAGGAGGCTCCAGGCTCTGAGCTGTTAGCACAGAGCCTGACACGGGGCTCAAACTCATGAACCATGAGATTATGACTTGAGCTGAAGTCAGACGTTTAACCAACTGTGCCCCTTAGTTGTCAACACTTTTAAGAGTGTGACCATTCTGCCAGACATAGAGAATACATTGGAAATTTACAAAATACCACATACCACATTTAGACTAAAATGCCATTAACATAGAAATCAATAAAAGGAGAAATAAATATAAAACAGCCATGAATTTATAAATGAAAAACTCTTTTTTTCTAAACAATTTATGGGTCAAAGAAGAAATTAAAATAGAAATTTTTAGATATTGAGATGTGAATGGTAACTTAAATTCTACATATCAACACTGTGGAAAGCATAAAGACCAAAACTGTCATGAAAATTATAAGCTTACATGCTTAAATTAGAAAATGAGAAAGGTTGAAAAATTAACAAGATAAAGAAAAGCAGAATAAGCCCAAAAGGTCATAGAATGAACAAGATAATAAAGAGAACTTAAAGAAAATTTTTAAACATATTATGAAGATTTAAAGTTCATCCTTCAAAAAGCCAAAAATAAAGACGAATAGCTGACAGTTGAGGAAAAAGGAACAGAGACACAAATAAATAATATTAGAAACAAAAAATGGATAAAACTGATGTAGATGAATTAAAAATATAACAAGAATACTATAAAAGCATTGGCAAATAATGTTTAAATTGGTTAATTTTTTTAAAATCTTTTTATTTTAAACTTGCCAAAACTCACATAAAAAGTAGAAAGTCTGAATAGTCCTTTGATAACTAAGAGTTCTTTTGCCTCAGAAACTAAAATTTTCCCATTAGAAAAGTTATTCTATAGGCAGTTCCAAATTTACGATGAATACATTATTTCAATATTTTATAAACTCTTCCAGAGATTAAAAAATAAAGTATGACTTCCAAACTTATTCTATGACATTATAATCATGACATTAAAAGCAGACAAGATTAAAATGAAATAGGAAAATTATAGGCATAGCCCCCTCATGAAAATTAGTGGGGAAAAAAACTTCAAAAATGAATTCAACAAAATATTTTTAAAAATTGACTATCTTCATTGATACCAGTTTGGGCTAAGGATACAGAAAATTTTAATATCATGAAACATAAATATGTAATTCAGTACAAAACCCTGTTACAGGAAGAAAACCATACATTTATCAAATTCTGGTAAGGCTATTAAGTAAAACTTAATATCTATCTCTACAAAAAAGAAAAAGAGAAAAGCAAGGAAAAAAAACTTCACCAGACTAAGATTAGAAAGAGATTTTCTTGACCCATGGAAACATATGAACATTATCTTAAATCTGCACTGTTCAGTATAGTGGTCACCAGCCCAAAATTGAGATATGGGAAAAGAATAAACACACTAGATATCAAAGTTTTATTATGGAAAAGAATATAATATACATACTAACAATGTTTATTTGGGTTACTTGTTAAACAATAAGACATCAGATAGATTTGGATTAAATTATACATTTTTCTCTATTTTAATGTGACTAGAAAATTTTTAATTACATATGTTGTTCATATTATTATTTTTAAATTTTTTTAAAGTGTATTCATTTTTTTTTTGAGAGACAGAGACATGAGTGGGGGAGGGGCAGAGAGAGAAGGAGGCACAGAATCCAAAGCAGGCTCCAGGCTCTGAGCTGTTAGCACAGAGCCCGATGCGGGGCTCGAACCCACAAACTGTGAGATCATGACCTGAGCTGAAGTCGGACACTTAACCGACTGAGCCACCCAGGCACCCCATATTATACTGTTACTGGACAGTGCTGTGCTAAAGAGTGCAGAGTTAGAATCATTTCCTTTAAAATCCAGATTAAAACATGGATCTTTATTATTACTACTTATTTGAATAGTCTTAAGAAATTTAAGAAACAGTACAGTAAGTAAAGAAAAATAAATAAAGGAATGACAACTTGATATGACTTTCTGTATGGAAAACCCAAAAGAATCTAGAGACAAATTACTAGGTTAAATAGCAATTAATATAAGAATACTGGGCAAGGTGGTAGTATATAAGATCAATATATAAAAGTCAATTGCATTTCAGCTGCAACAAACAGAAAATATAATTCAAAAAGGAACATTTTACAATGAATAAATAAATAAATTCATAATCCCAGAGTTACCCTAAATAAATTATATGCAAGATTTCATGAATTCATAAGTGCTTGTGTTGTTCTTATATTTCATAAATAACAAAGATGTTATACATATATGTGTAGACATATTGTTTAATATGTATGAAATTCTATACATAATAAAGTTTATAAGAACAATTCATGGGGGGGGCGCCTGGGTGGCTCAGTTGGTTAGGGGTCCGACTTTGGCTCAGGTCATGACCTCACAGTTTGTGGGTTCGAGCCCCATGTCGGGCTCTGTGCTAACAGTTCAGAGCCTGGAGCCTGCTTCAGATTCTGCATCTCATTCTCTCTCTGTCCCTCTCCCACTTGTATTCTGTCTCTCTCTGTGTCTCAAAAATAAATAAAGGTAAAAAAAAATTTTTTTTAATAAAAAAAAAAAAGAACAATTCATAGGGGCACCTGGCTTGCTCAGTCAATAGAGTGTGCAACTCTTGATCTCAGGTCAGGAATTCTAGCCCCACATTGGATGTGGAGCCTACTTTAAAAAAAGAAAGAAAAAAGAACAATTCATATCAAATAGAGATTCTCTTTCCAATATAATCAGAAGAATTGAAAAAAAATGGAAGAGGGAACATACCAACCAAAAGGCAGTCATTCAGCTGTGAATGTTTATTGATAATCTAATCCAGCGCTACTCAAATGTCCGGGACAAATAGCCTTAAAATCACCTGGGAGCTTGTTAGAAAAGCAAATGTTCATGTCCTATGCCAGACCTACTAACTCAGAATATCTAGGAATATGGCCCAGGAATCTGTACTTCAACAAGCTTCCCAGGTAATACTGGGAAATTGAGAACTTATGCTCTGAATATAGACAAGATCTTTCATTTACCATGATATTAAAAAATTAAATGGAAGAGATATGTTAGGAAGTAGTTACTACGAAAATGGTCATCCACTAGATTACTTAGTATGTGTGGTACATGCCACTTGTAAACCGTGATTAAATTCATATCATATCTCCAAGTGGAGACTTACCCTGGTATTGCAAGACATACTGGTTATTCACAAGAAGCCATGTGGGGATAAAAATATATATATATTTACCATTTAATGTTAGATTTTTTTGAATTTTAAATTCATAATATGTTCCTTAATAATGAAGTAAGTATTTTTCCTAAGCCAATGTTGAGGACTTTTTTCCAAAGTATTTTATCAAGTTGGTGTCATAGTTCTGTTAGCATAGAAAAGAAGGCTGTCTTTCTCTCTTTCTTTTAGACACTTGTCTCTGGTGTAAAAAAACGTCCTGATTTCTCAGTCACTGGACAATGGGATGTTACCACTGAAAGGGATGGTAAAAAAGAATCCACTATCTTTGATGCTGTATTAATTTGTTCTGGACACCACGTGTACCCCAACCTACCAAAAGAGTCCTTTCCAGGTAAGGCTGAAATTTAGGCTGCCATCTATACATCTGGCATGAATGACTATCTTGATAATGTCTTTTAAATATATAAATATATATATGAAGTACAGACTAAATTAAAATATGCTTCTATTATATGTAATATACCTGGAGCTTTGAAGTTACATATTATTGTGACTGCATTCACCCACATGCCTTTTATAGCAGATTTTTAAATGGAAACCAAATGACTCATATGTTTACCACTTTTCACTCAGGACTAAAACTTTTTAAAGGCAAATGCCTCCACAGCCGGGAATATAAGGAACCTGGAATATTCAAGGGGAAGCGAGTCCTGGTGATCGGCCTGGGAAACTCGGGCTGTGACATTGCCACAGAACTCAGCCACACAGCTAAACAGGTATGGCTCCTCAGGTACTCAGTAACTATCTTTAAAGGAACAGAAACAGTTACCATTTGAAAGAGGTGTTAGGAAACAGGGGGATGGGGAGGGATAGTGGGGTACAGGGTTCATGATGGAAGACTAAGCGTTTCTTTTATCTCAGCTTCCCTCTACAACAGGTGAGGTTTTCAATTGTTTGGTATGACAGAGGCAGATTATCAGCAGGGAGTGATGTCATTCAACAGTCTATAGTCATCTTCTTCAGGATGTTTGGTGTCTAACATGTGTCTAATCAATTCCTCCAAAACTAGTGTGGATGTAGGGTCATGACTCTGACTCTTCGGTCAAATCCTTAAATCCCTCAGAGTGTCCATTTTCTTATTAAGATAAATAAAACAGTAAAAAGAGAATCTACTTCAATCTTGGTAAGAAGTTAAAGCATTTAATTTTTTTAAGTGTTTATTTATTTTTGAAAGAAAGACAGAGTTTCGGTGGGGTAGGGGCAAAGAGAGGGAGACACAGAATCCAAAGCAGTCTCCAGACTCTGAGCTGTCAGCACAGAGCCTGATGTGAGGCTCAAACTCACAAACTGTGAGATCATGACCTGAGCAGAAGTTGGATGCTTAACTGACTGAGCGACCCAAGCACCTCAGGAGTTAAAACATTTAAACATGATTTCAGCAATACCGAGTTCTATATTCATGCATGAATACAGTCATTCCCACAGTTATTTGCTGAGAGCCTACTATGCGGCAAGCACTGGCTTGGGTGCTGGAGAGAAAGTGGTGAAGAAAACAGGCATGACACCCACCCTAGAACTGAGTCTAGGGTAGAAAACAGACCTTAAAGAAGTAAATGCACAAGTAACTTGAAAATTGTGAAAAAGTGCTAGTAAAAAGAAAAAGCATGCTGTAAGAGTGCGTAATAAGGGTGACCTGCCTCAGACAAGGAGTGGAAAGGCTCTTTTCAGCTGATGACATTGGAGCTGAGGGCTAAAAGTTGAGGAAGGGACTCAGTGTCAGAAAAGGATTCCATGAAGAATATCTTGAAGCAAGAAAAGACCTGAGAGAAGACTCTCACTGCAACTCAGTGGATCTGGAAAAGAATGGTAGGAGATGAGGTTGGAGAGGAAATGGCAAAGAGGTGATATAGAGCCCATAAGGGCATGTGAAGGATTTTGAATAAACATTGCCTACTAGCTTTGGAAAATTCTAGAAGCCCAGAAGACAGGAATCTTATCTCTAGAAGTTATGCCTACTGATGTGATGGCATCCTCGACTTAAGTTTATTTTAAATGGTGGTATTACAATGAGTGAAGCAAGGAGATCGTGGCAGGTCAAATGGCATAAAAATATATTCTTCTTTTTTTTTTTATCCCTAAATCTTACTTTATTTATTTATTTATTTATTTATTTATTTTACAAATAGTTTATTGTCAAATTAGTTTCTACATAACACTCAGTGCTCATCCCCAAAGTGCCCTCCTCCATGCCCATCCCCCCCTCCCCCCCTCATCCATCAGTCCTCAGTTTTTGTCAGCATTCAAGAGTCTCTCATGGTTTGCCTCTCTCCCTTTCCCCCACCATTTCTGCCCTTCTTTTCCCGCTTGTTCCTCCGTCAAGTTCCTCCTAATCCTCCTATACGTGCAAACATATGATATTTGTCCTTCTCTGCCTGACTTATTTCGCTCAGCACTGCTAGGAATTTACCCAAGGGATACAGAAATGCTGAGGCATAGGAGCACATGTACCCCAATGTTCATAGCAGCACTCTCCACAATAGCTAAAACATGGAAAGAGCCTAAGTGTCCATCAACAGATGAATGGATCAAGAAGATGTGGTTTATCTATACCATGGAATACTCCATGGCAATGAGAAACAATGAAATCTGGCCATGTGTAGCAACATGGATGGACCTTGAGGGTGTTATGCTGAGCGAAAAATATATTCTTATTTCCCTATTCAAAGCACTATACTAGATAGCATAGAGACACAGAGGAGTCAACCACGTGTCCCCTCTCCTCACAGAATTTAAATTCTACTTGAGAAAATAATACACCGAAATTATATGAATTAAACACAACCTCAAGAGTTAAGTGGAAAGCCTAACAACCTAACAACAGTGCAAGAGTGACCACCAGAACAGAGGATGCACAGGTGATTCAGGAACCAAGTGCTCTGATTGTGGAACTGGAGGCCTCACAAAGGGGGTAGAGCTATATGAGTCCTTGAAGGATATTTATGAGTCATATGGTTGAGAGGTGGCAAAGGGTGTTCTTGCAGGGTGGCTCGGTCAGTTAAGCGTCCAACTCTTAATTTCAGTTCAGGTCAGGATCTCATGGCTCATGAGGTCAAGCCCCTTGTCTGGCTCTGCGGTGACAGGAAGGAGTCTGCTTGGGAATCTCTCTCTCTCTCTGCCCCTCCCCCACTCACACTCTTGTCTCTCTTCAAAAGTAAACAAATATTTTTAAAAAAATTTTTAGCATTGGATGCTTAACCACTGAGCCACCCAGGTGCCCTGATAAAAATTCTTTAAAAAAAAAAATGCCTGAAAAACTACACCGTTAGAGATTATCATGACAGAAGGGGAGGAAAGGAACACATTCTTCATGTGGTGGTCATACTGCATGGCTAGCACACTGCATTAACTCTCACACACAGATTTGAAGTGTCCAGTACCTATCATTTCCATTTTATGAATAAGGAAACTGAATATCAGAGAAGTTAAAGGAATTTGCCCCAAATTGCATCATTAGTAAGTAGGAGGGCCAAGATTTGAGCCTATGGTTTTCAGGTGCCAAATGTCTTGCCTTCTTTTAGGATGGGGAAAGGCATTTTCAGTCAAAATGACCATTTGAGGTTCATAATTGCTTGGTTGTGGACAATGATTATCAGTTAAGCACTAGAGGAAATGTGATAATTTAGTTATTGGTCACCTCCACCAGAGATGACAGGGTGGTTGGTCCTGAGATGTAGACTAAGTACAGGAAGTTTACTTGGGGGTGCTCTCTGGATGAAAGAGGCGAGGGAAGGATGCTTCCCTTTACACTACTCTGAAGCTATACTTCTGACCTGTCTCCAGCTGGGGTCCAGAAAGGGCGTAAGACTTTAGGTGAGACCCCCTTTTCAACCAAAGCAACTCCCAAAGAAGGCTGACAGCTGACAGCTGTGAGGCAACACTCTCACTAGCTGGTGTGATAACTCCCCCAAAAGTCAGACCTGAGGGACACACCACAATATCCACTACAAACGGTCACTATTCTAATGGTTAAACATTGCTGGTTTTTTTTTTAAGGTCATCATCAGTTCCAGAAGTGGCTCTTGGGTGATTAGCCGGGTCTGGGATGATGGTTATCCATGGGACATGGTGTTTGTCAATCGATTTGAAACCTTCCTCAAGAACAACTTGCCAAAAGCCATCTCTGACTGGTGGTACAAGAAGCAAATGAATGCAAAATTCAAGCATGAGAACTATGGTTTAATGCCTTTAAATGGGTAAAGCAGAGTTAAATATGATATGCCTCTTACTTGTATTTCTGTGTCAACAATTCACAGTGTGTGCTGTAACTCCAAACCAACTAAAATAATATTAGTGAAGCAATCATGTCTCACATTTCAGAGGCTGAAGAACTGCAAAAATTTGGAGTGATTTCCCATTTCATAGTCCTCCCTCCCAGATTTGCATGGCTGGAAATTATATATGTCAGGAATTAGTCCCTAGAGTAATGATAATAATATTTAACGTGTTTCAAGCATTTAATGCAGCCGAGCAAGGCCCTGATATGCATTGTTTCATTTTATCCTCACAACAGTTACTAAGTCTCTATTATAATGCCCATTTTAAAGATGAGAAAACTGAGGCTCAATGTAGTTAACAACTTTGCCAAAGTCCCATCGCCAGAAGGCAGAAGCAGTATTCAAAATGAGCCCAGGTATGCTAACTCCAGAGCTGCTTGCTCTTAGCCACCTTGCTCTACTGCCTCTCACTTCATGGAAAAGTTCAGTTAAGCAAAGCAGGACTTTCCCTGTGCTGCAGTCTCAGGACCCACCCTTAACGGAGCCATCCCACTGAAATGTGGCCACAATGTCTGCTTCTTCAGCTGCCTCCTCATTGTCTCCTATAACATCCCCCTAGATATATCCCTCAGGCACATAAGAAATTACCTTGATATGGAGTGAAAAATCTAAATTATAAACTACTTATATCAAAGTTAACTTATTCAACAAATATTTATTAAGCATTTATTGTGTGTCAGGTCCTATATTGAGCCCTGTGAACAAAACACTCAAAATCCCTGTCCTAATGAGCCTACCTTCTAGCAGTGGGAAACAGGCGGGAGACAAAGAGCAGAAGACCATATGCAGATGTGTACTATGGAGAAAAGAGCAAAGCAGGCAGAGGTGATGGGGAGTGCTGTCAGCATCCCTAGAGGAAGCCTCACTGAGAAGGAGACTTTTAAGTAAATTCCTGAAGGAGCTGAGGAAATGAGCCAGGGGAGTGTCTGGGGGAAAGTATTCCAGAAGAAATGGTTAGGATATTGCCTCTTCAGGGCCATGAATACCATGTTCAACTAACTGGCATGTTCATGGACTTCTCTCCATGGGAACAAGAGGATGGGGAGAGTAGGAGTGAAACCAAAAGACATCAAAATGGCCAGATGGCATTGCACCTCGTAAGACATTGTGAGGACACTGGCTTCTAATCTGAATGCCACGGGAAGCCAGAACGAGCATCCGACAAGTTAGGGACAAAATCCAAGTTAATGTGAAGAAATCGCTCTGGAGCTGTGGTCATCATTCAGTGTATAGAGGCAGGTCGAGAAAGGAAACCAAAAGACTAGTTAAGAGGCTATTGTCAAAAACCCAGATGACAGAGGTTGGTGGCTTAGACTAGACTCGTTAGCAGCAAGTGCTCAGAAATGGTCATATCTGGGATATATTTTAAAGGTAAATCCAAATAGGATTTTCTGTTAGATTGAATAACAGATGTGAGAACAAGAAAAGAGTTGGAGATGTCTTCCAAACTCCTGAACTGAGCAAGGATGCAGGGTGGAGTTGACAGTTATGGGAGGTGGGTGTGGAAGACCTGTAGGGGGAGCGAAGTTTAGTTTTAAACATCAAAATTGAAAGGCCTATGAGTCATTATGAGTCATCATTGTAGAAGATGTTGAGCAACCCTTGCAGTACTGTGGGAGACACTGATAAATAGCGGTGGATAGGAAGGGGATCGAGAGAGAATGATGACCTGGAAGCAAATTGAAGGCAGTGTTTCAAGAAGGAGGAAGCCATCGATTGTGTCAAACACTGCTGATAAATTGAGTAAGATGACAAGTGATAATGGATCTTTGGATCTGGCAGTTTGAGGACCCTGGTGGCCTTGACAAGAGAATGGGGCTCATACCTCACCCTTTATTAGAGAGTCTGACCAAGATCTTTGTATTATTTCCATCACCCAATGACCAGAGGTGGGCATAACAGTCATTGCTTCTCCAGATGAGAAAGATGAAGCAAGAGAAATTAAGAAACTTTCATTAGATCAAGATTCACAGCTAATAAGAAGCGAAGAAAAAAATTCAAATACACAGGTACTCTGATTTAGGATCTTCCCTGATATAGCTTTAACAGGAGATAGGGCCTGTGTGCTTAATTCTGGGATTTGAAGCTGTGGGAGAGAAGAGAAATATCATGAGAAAGAGAAAGGAGTGGTAAAAGGCAACTTTTCTAAATTCACAATATTGCCTCACTTCAGTTTTGCTCTTCAACCATATTGGTGACATTCCATGGCACAAGAAAAAAATCTTGGGTATTTTTCTCCTTTCTTCTTATTTGATTATTAGTTAATCATTATGAACAAATAAAACAAAGAGGAAATATTAGTGACTGTCTCTATTTTCCATACAGAACCCTGAGGAAAGAACCTGTGTTTAATGATGAGCTCCCAGCTTGCATTCTGTGTGGTACAGTGTCCATTAAGCCTAATGTGAAAGAATTCACAGAGACTTCGGCCATTTTTGAGGATGGAACAGTGTTTGAAGCCATTGACTGTGTCATTTTTGCAACAGGCTATGGTTATGCCTACCCCTTCCTTGATGAGACCATCATTAAGAGCAGAAACAACGAGATCACCTTGTTTAAAGACATTTTCCCTCCTTCACTGGAGAAGCCAACCTTGGGAATAATTGGTTTGGTCCAGTCCCTTGGGGCTGCCATTCCCACAGTTGACCTGCAAACTCGCTGGGCAGTAAAAGTAATAAAAGGTAACTAGACCGGGGTGCCTGGGTGGCTCAATTGGATGAGAATCTGATTCTTGATACCAGCTCAGTTTGCAATCTCACAGTCATGAGTTTAACCCCATGGTGGGCTCTGTGCTGTCAGCACAGAGCCTGCTTAGGATTCTGTCTCTCCCTCTCTCTCTGCCTCTACATGGCTCATGTCGCTCTCTCTCTCTCTCTCTGTCTCTCTCTCAAAAATAAATAAACATTGTTTTAAAAAAGGTAAGTAGACAAACAAGGTCATTGATGGAGAAGGTCATCGATAGCATATGGAGATCCATATGCCAAATAAGAATGCCTTTGACTCTTTGTGAAAACAAGAATCCTAATAACAAGGGAAAAATTCTAGGTCCCATCCATCCAGTTTTAAATCTATAATTCTATAATTTTAGTGTTATATTTTATAAGCAATTAAAGATATTACATTGGATTATCATATGCAATAGTACAAGACATTATTCAGGGAGTGTTTTGTGATTATAACTCCTTAAAATGGTTGACTTTCATTAAACTTAAGAACACCAGAGCTTCTGGTCCTAAATGCATGACAATTTTATAAAACTATGATTTCAAAACTCAATAGAATGACATTGCTTAAAAGGTTAATAAGGGATGTTTCCAAGCCAATATCCAGCCAGCTTCAAATAACAACAGTCATGAAAAACATTATGATTGCTGGAAAGACAGTGTTTTTTCTGTTTTATCTTTTACCCTGGCATGTGTCAGATAAGAGCAAACAATGGATCATTAGAAGCAGAAAGTACTAGATGTAGTAGATGATCAGTCTCTAAGGTAAGGAAATACTGAGTTTCTGTATTAAAAAATAATAATAACAACAACAAATTTGACTGGGGTCAGGTATGGGAAGCAGTCAGCATTCTCCAGCAAAAGATACGAGGATCAAATTCCCACTAAGGTTGTGTGAAAATTCAAATCATAAAACAAAAAATCCATGGTTAAAGAAGTTTAATGTGGGAAGTTTGTTCCTAGAGGTATAAAACTTCTGGAAAGCGAGTCTAGTGGGCCTACCTCCTTTGAAGCTGTATGTAACGATTCTAGTCCTGCCCAACATGCTGGGATTTAAATGTTCTTCTTTTATATAGGAGGTTGGAACCTTCCAGCATGTATACTGAGACACCTTTCATCCACGAGGCTGTCATCCACACCATTGCCATCATGCATATCAATGATCTCTTTAAACTCCTTCACTTTTTCCTTCAAGGCAGAAATATGTTGCACGTGGCAGCAGCCAGGAAAGTGATGACATGAAATTCCACTAGGAATGAAGTGAGTTTAAGGGTCAAGGCTCAGGGAGACTGGCATTAGAAGGTAGGACACATATTCCTTTAAGATAAGTTGTAACCTGGGCTCTGAAGAAAGGAGACAATAATCCAAGGCAAGCCTTGACCCTTAGGGGAAATGAGTGATAAAGCAAATAATCCAATTTAGGGAACCCAAGTACCAGGACAGAGGGGTCAGTTGCAGGCATCCCAAGGTAGTAGCTGGTGGGTTACTGAGCAGAACTTCTTCCTTCTTGATCTCTCCTTCTGCCCAAGGACAGGGTAGGCTCCAAGTTTTGGAACAAGGCAGGAACTTCCTAACATTGAGTTGGGCAATCATTGGATGTTTTTGAGCAATCAGATCTGGGTATTCTAGTCTTGTTCAAGGTGATCCTGAAATTACCAAAGAAACCACCCTAAATCTGAAGTATCTCTGGGCACTAAAGCATTTTTTGGGGGGGTATGGGTTTCAGAGAAATCCATAAACCTATTCCAGAATGAGCCTGAAATCCTGGAGCAGTCCCAGCTGGGATCTGGTCTCTAGGGGCTCACCCCAGTCCTTGGTGATGTGTGCACAGTCCATATCCTCAGTCTCATCCAGGAACTGTTGGCTCTTCAGAGAGAAACTGGTGGCTTGACTAAATTCTACATCTTACATGCTGGATATTCCTTTTTCTGACAAAGGAGGATAGTTTCCTATGAAGTTTTTTTCTTAAATCTTAAAAAAGAGATTCTGATTTACCTTTAACTATAAACTATTAGACAATATTCTTTTAAAATACAACTGAGAGACTAGAATATAATCCTTGAAACTGGTTTCAAACATCTGTTAACTTGTTTAACAGCAAAGATGCAAATATTAAATACTATATGGCTCTTGGTTTTTTTTTATGTGGTGTCTCAATTCTGAGAAGACTGGAAATGACTTATATATTTATCTCAAAATGACCACCTGTTGATTGGTTTAAGATTTCACTTTGCTAGACAATGACCCCTCAAAAATGGAAATACTGATGTGATCATAGCCCATTATTAAGAAGAAAAAAATTGCAGGTTGATCTTACGCCAGACTTATTTAACTATTATCATATCTTTCCCTTTTTCTTTTGTTTCAGGAACTTGCACTTTGCCTTCTATAACAGACATGATGAATGATATTGATAAAAAAATGAGGGAAAAGCTCAAATGGTAAGAACATCTATTGTAAAGAGGGCCTATGTTTTCCATAGAAAAATCAGAATTTGTGACTACTTGGAACTACTTTAGTCTTACATGGTCCACAGTAAGGTCCTTAGGGTGACAAATGAGCTAAATCCATCCATGCAGCAAGTATTTGTGGAAGATTTACTTTGCTCCTGACCCAGTACTTAGTCCTGTTTCATCCCTCCATGACTCCTGCAATATATCACAGAAAAAAGACCCAGAAAGGATTAGAAAGCAGAGGAGTCTGGGAGTGCATGAATGTGGGCTTCTCTTTCCTAGTCAATAAATCCTGTAAGATACAGAGGATACCTCCAAATGGATGGCTCTAATGAACATGAATCAGCAAATGAGAATAGTCAGGAGAACCGAGCTCTAGTCCTATCTCTGTCACAAATTAGCTCAGTGTCCATGAACAAACTTCATGAGTAAGAGGCAATTTCTACTTGTGAATGGGGATAAAAATGCCTTTTGGTTGCTGTGCACTTTTGGTGAATGTCCAAATGAGATCGGTATGCAAGTCTCTTGGAAAGTTACCAAAGTGTAGAATAAATGAGCAAGGTCCCCTTACCAACACAAGGGACTAACATTGATTCCCTCTGAGAAAAATCTGTGAGGGATTTCCCCATTTTCTTGTTCCTGTAAGACATCCTACACGGAGCTTCGATATCCATATGTTGTTTCCTCTCCCACCTCCAGGTTTGGCACCAGCAAGACCATGCAAACAGATTATATTAATTATATGGATGAACTTGCCTCCTTCATTGGGGCAAAACCCAGCATCCCGTGGCTATTTCTCACAGACCCCAGATTGGCTGTGGAGGTTTTCTTTGGCCCTTGCAGCCCATACCAGTTTAGGCTGGTGGGCCCAGGGAAGTGGCCTGGAGCCAGAAATGCCATCCTGACCCAGTGGGACCGGACCCTGAAACCCATGAAGACCAGAGCTGTCGGAACCCCTCTGAAGCCTTGCTTGCTTTGCCGTTGGGTCAGGCTCCTTGCTCTTCCCATTCTGGTTATCGCTGTTTTCCTGGCATTGATCCAGTGATCATTCTCCCCAAGATTCTGAAAGTTACTGACAATACCTGGGGAGGAACTTTTCTATTTAAAAATTAAGAATTTCACACCTCCTACTTTCCTATTCAGCAGGCATTACTCAGTAAAGCAGTACTATTTATAGGCTTTTAAATAAGCCTCTTTAAGAACAATGTCATGATCTATACAGAGCATTAATCATTTCTTTTTAGGTTCCACTAACATTTCATGATCAGAACTACACTCTTCATCTCTAACCTCAATCATCTCCTGAAACATTCTGACATAACTCCTCTTCTCCTTTACACAAGGTTTGAAATACATACTTCAAATCTAAACAAAGAGCAAATTCAGCAGAGTAGTTGTGGTGTTCTCAGGCCACCTCTACAAACCATTTGCAAGAGGTACAAGCAGGGAATTTGGCTATTAATTCTATTTTGGTATTATGTTAAATCCTCCAGGCAATATGTCCTGTTCCTGGGCCAAAAAGTATAGCATGATGGCCTGGTTTATAATGAAAATTAACAAGAAGCAACTCACTGTATTTATATTCTCAACAAGGACACAAACATAGCAGCAAAATAATGCCTACAAAGAGTAGACATCAAATATCCCTTTTAGCTGAATGAAAGGTCTTCAAATATTTAGCCAAAGCCATGACCAAAATCTAATACTACCTTCATAACATGAACTTCTGGGGTATCAGCATAAATCTAAAGTTTTGCTTTTTAGGGACTCCTGGGTGTCTTAGTTGGTTAAGCATCTGACTTCAGCTCAGGTCATGATCTCACTGTTTGTGGGTTCGAGACCTGCTTTGGGATCTGTGCTGACAGCTGGGAGCCTAGAGCCTGCTTCAGATTCTGTGTGTGTGTGTCTCTCTCTCTCTGCCCCTCCTCTTTCGCTCATACTCTGTCTCTCAAAAATAACTAAATGTTAGCATTTTATTTTTAAAAAGATTATTTCATTTTATAGTTAAAAGTTTTACAGTTTGACATTATAGACTAGATAAAATAATCGGTCAATGTCATCAATTACCACAGGCCTCTATAGGTGTTTACATCACCTATTTCTTACCACACATTCACTTCTGAGGCCAGTAGAATGTCAAGATAGGTAGATAGATGTTAGATAGAGAGAGATAGAGATAATAGAAGATAGATACATAGATGATAGATAATAGACTATAGATAGAGAGATAATAGATGGTAGATAGGTAGATACATAGATGGTAGATAATAGGTGATAGGTGCATAGATATATAGATAGATGATAGATAATAGATTATAGATACATAGATACATACATACATAGACTATAGATAATAGAAGATAGATGATAGATAAATAGATAGATAATAGATTATAGATAGATGATAGAGATAGAGATGATAGAAATATAGAGAGAAGATAGATGATAGATAGATAGATACATACATACATACATACATAGATAATAGATTAGAGAGAGAGAGAGATGATAGAGATAGAGATAATAGAGAGAGAAATAGGAAAAGAGAGAGATAGGGATGGAGATAGAGATAGACAGAGATAGATATCTATAACAAAGGGGCAAAAGACCACATTTTTCTGTAATACTTTCATCTTTTTCTTTCTAATTCTCTTTATATGTTTAGCTTTGGAACTAAGATTGATCATAGATGTACACAATTTTAAGTATCTCCCTTTCCCTAATTATTTAAGGTAGCAAAGTAACACTCTGCTGTTAAGGTCTTCTCACAAGATATGAAATATTCTCAAATGTTCCCAAGTGAAACAGAACTTTTCTTGAAACTCTGTGGCTGCAATAGAATCAAATAACTAAAAATTAAATACAACCCATAAAGGGCACCTGGGTGGCTCAGTCGGTTAAGCATCTGACTTAGGCTCAGGTCATGATCTCGAGGTTTGGTGAACCTGAGCCCCACATCAGTCTGTCTGCTGTCAGTGCAGAGCCCATTTCAATCCTCTATTTCCTCTCTCTGCCCTTGCTCTGCCTCTCACATGCTCTCGCTCTCTCTCTCAAAAATAAATAAACATTTTTAAAAAATTAAATATAGCCCATAGAGTTTATTTTGTTTGGTGTTATCAATGCTATTACATGAAATAAATTGAAGATAAAATTGATATAATCCAGTTTCTGTTATTCTTCCTCATATGATTATTTAATTTTTTATAAACATCAATGGCTTATAGAATACAATATTTTTACTAAGCTAATGTAGCCAACATGTTTCTAAATGATACTATTAACAAAAATTACTTCCATACTAACTTGAACTATCGCCAATGTCTTAGTTACTTCTATACATAACAGTAAGAATTTTCAATCATTCATTTTTGCATGCTTTACTGATAAAATTAAATATACATTTATACATCAACAGACATACAATCTGAATATACAAAGCACAAAAGATCTTTTCATTTCCAGTTTTATCTCAAAATTCTTACCAGGACTTAAAAGTGCATAGTCAGATATTAAAAATACAACCAGAAGCACATGGGTGGCTCAGTTGGTTAAGCGTCTGACTTGATTTTGACTCAGGTCATGATTTCTGGGTTCATGGGACTGAGCCCCACATCGGGCTCTGTGCTGACAGCATGGAGCCTGTTTGGAATTCTCTCTCTCTCTCTCTCTCTCTCTCCCTGCCCCCTCAAAAGCAAATAAACTAAAAAAATACAACCAACTAAAAGTTGTCTTGGTGCAGCTGACCTAGTTATGCTGATTAGATCTGAAGCTAACCTGCATGATCACAGAGTTGTTGACTGCACCCAGTTTTCAGGATGGGAGAAAGGACTTTGAAGTAGGCTTTTGGCTCTTCAGCCTTCTAGAGATTTCAAGTTTAGCCAAAACTGAGGCCAAAGCCAAACTTCAGGGCATATATCTACCAATCTTCTCCATATTCCTCTATTCCTTCCTTGCTTTTTCCTCTTTATCTTCCTCTTCTTTCTTGTTATTCTTATTTCTCTCTTTTTCTTTCTCTAACTTCTTTGTCCTCCTTTGCCCCCTTTATTCTTTCTTTTGCTTTCTTCATCAGGAATAATCAGAGGTGGAAGTATTCACTTTGAAAGACCCTTGGATCTTCTGGGATGGTGTCCCAGATGCTACCCCAAGCGGTCTTTCAAAAAGAGTATACTGGGGCGCCTAAGTGGCTCCAGTGGTTAAGCATCTGGCTCAGGTCATGATCTCATAGATGGTTCATGGGTTTGAGCCCTGTGTCAGGCTCTGTGCTGACAGCTCAGAGCCTGGAGCCTGCTTAAGATTCTGTCTCCCTCTCTCTCTGCCCCTCCCTCACTCACATTCTGTTTCTCCCTCTCTCTCAAAAATAAATAAACATTAGAAAACATTTTTTAAAAACAATGTTTTATTAATAAATACTCTTTTCCACCTCTTCAATCAGTTCCCCAGGCATTAATTGGTAGTCTATTATGACCGAGCTACCATGCTAGAAATTGAAAAGCAGAGTTAGAAATGGTCCTTGTTGGTGCATCTGAGTGGATCAGTGGGTTGAGTGTCCTGTGCTTGATTTTGGCTCAGGTCATGATCCCAGGGTTGTGGGATCGATCGAGACCCACCTTGGACCCCATCCTGAGCATGGATCCTACTTAGGATTCAATCTTTCTCTCTCTCTCTCCTCTCTCTCTCTCCCTTTGTCCATCTCCCCCACTCACATGGTCACTCTTTATCTCTAAAATAAATAAAGTGCAATTACAAAAAAAAAAAAAGAAAGAAAGAAAGAATGATCCCTATCTTCAATCAGTTACAGTCTGCAATGTAACAGGGAACTGAAAAACACCTAATGTTGCTTTGAGTAAACAATAACATTTTTATACAAATTCAGTCTCTGTACTCTCAATTACCCACGATTTTTAGAAATTGCTGGTACTTTTTATCAACTTAGATTTAATTAATTAAGATATTAAAGCTTAATTAATCCTCAGAATAATCCTTTGACATGGGTCTTATCACCAGGCCCTCTCAGAGGTCATAAGAAGCTGGAGACTTTCTTTTTCTATCAGAATATGTTTTAATGAAGAAAGGTCAGAAAGTTATAAAAATAACAATGTATTTAAATATTTATGTAGGACAAAGTAAAACTTTAAAACAAAAAAATATGATTCAATATTGCATCATATTGTGTGTATATTCACAAGATGACTTCTATAAGTTTTATCACAAAAATGGGAATTCATGGTACCATAGTTAAACCCTAAGATCCAGCTGCAAGTTCAAGGTTTTAAAATAACTTCTTTTGGTTCTATTATTGTGACTCTGTGGCTGATTGTTTAATCTCATTTGGAGAGGAGATCCAAAGTGTAAATGTGAGGCCCTTTTGGGAATAGAGGCCTGGGCCAAGTGGTGTCTCTGCTCAAGGTGTTATAGTCAGCACAATTCAATGCAATGCCCCATTTCAACAGCAAGAATCTCGTCAAAGGTTTTCTTGTGTGTATACAAAATAATAGAAAGTCCAACACACTGACATTAACAAATAATACTAGCTCCACATGGCCAGCCCTCTGCATTGGTATCCAGAAGTGATGGGGAATAGATAAGAGACTCCATTCCTTTTTTGAATACTTTATGAAACAATTTGTAAATTTACTAAGTGCCTTCCTTACCCATATTTATCCTGGTAATGACACATCTAAATATACAGCCTCTCAAGCCAAAACCCCAGACATACTCCTTCATTTCTTTCTTTGCCTCATGTGTTAGTTTGCTAGCATGGCCATCACAAAATGCCACAGACTAAGTGGCTTAAACAACAGAAATGTATTTTCTCACAATCCTGGAGGTTTCAGGTCCAATATTTAGATATCAGCAGGGTTGTTTTCTTCTGAGGCCTCTCTCTTGGCTTGTAGATGATGACTTTTTCCTCCCTGTGTCTTCACATGGTCCTTTTGCTGTGTATGTTTGTATCTAGATTTCCTTTCCTTATAAGGACATCAGTCATGTTGAATTAGGCCCAACCTAAGACCTCATTTTAAGTTAATCACTTCTTTACAGACCCTATTTCCAAATACAGTCACATTCTGATGTACTATAGGTTCAAGCATCAATATAGGTATTTGGGTGGGGGGAACACAGTTCATCCCATAACATCTCACCA